GAACTGACTCTCCCCTGACTTTATAGACCAGGAGAGTTTGCACCTGAGGAGCAGAGTTGGGACCCGGCCTTTATCAGGGGAAGGTGAGAGAGCCGGCTGCCCTGCAAGCCTTCTCCCACCGGTTGATTTTAGACACACTCGAACCAGATGACACCCTAAGCTCGGAGAGATGCTGGATACGGAGCAATAGATTTAGCACCATTATCTTTGGCACTAAAAATAAAACAGGAACAACAGGAACTGTCTCTAGAAATGACCAACAGCACACAGACTGCTTATGAATGCACACACACACCCAGACTGACATGTGGGCGTTACCTTTATTAGTGATTGACGTAGGTGGGCCCAGCTCACTGTGGGGGCTGCCACCACCCTGGGCATTAGGCCCTAGCTCATCCCCATTTTGCACCCGATGGTGTGTAAACACATTCCTTCCCAAGTTTCCCTGGGCTGAGTCACTAAGGCACCCATGTCCCCAAGCTAGCAAGTTTTAGACTCTTAATTGGTTTGCTGGGCCATGACTCCATACAATGTTAGAGCTCTCCGCTCTCGAATTTAGCTCAAGCATGCAGTACCTCAATTTATCCATAGGTGGCGATGCCGACACAAAATTGCTGGGGGGGGGGGGTTCAAGGTGGATTTCAAGTATCATTCCAGCAATCCCTGATGCAGAGTATCCAAAGGTAAGGCCCCGGGAGCAAGATTACCATCTACCACTGTCACTGCTACCAAACAGGAAGGAAGCCTTGTCGCGGAGATGTTTTAGAAACCGAACACATTTAAAGAAAAGCCTCACGGTTTAGCTTCTCATCTTACCCAAGACTTGTGACAGCTTGAGCCAGCACCAGCCGCAGCCCTGGCACAGCCCTCTGAGAGCTGCTGCCTCCACGGAGACCTCCACGAGCCGGAGGAGCCATTCTCCGAGTTCAAAGTTCCATAAAAATTAACTTTTTCAAATTAAAAACACCTTTGGCCTCCAACGTGCAAGGGGGCCCATGCTAGATTTTTCTTTCCTTTTGGCTACACGGACTGCGGCTAAGTGGATCTGTCCAGCTTAAAGAGAGCTTCCCTGACCCTGTCACCTCCATCTACAGAATAAAAAGAACCCAGCAGCTTCAGGATCGAGGGTATGAGAAGCATCTTCAGCCTACACCCTCAAACAAGAAGAGAACAGGCTGGGGAAAAGCCCATCCATGCCATGAGCCAGCAGCTACCCACTGAAACACTGCCACCACTCCCCCCCATCTTCCTGGTATTTTTCTTATCTACCAAGTCAACAGGGTCAGCTTCCGGGGAGCCACCTCCCTGGGCAAACAGTGACTCCAGAGCATTCACCGCCTTGCCTCGATGACGTCACTCTTTCCCAGGGGCACAGACTGTCCATTCAGCTTGCGTTTTCGTCAGCAGGGCTGACAGATTGCCCAACAAATCCTGAGTTGATTCCCTGGGTTGGTAAACCCGGAATCAGCTTTTGCTACACACAGAGCCGCTGCGAGAGCTGGCAGGCCAACCGACCTGACCCTGGAGCTTAGGGAACACAGCAGGAACAGTGCACTGCGTTCCTGATCCCTGGAGAGCTGCAGCTGCTCTGGCGTCCTGTCCCTGCAATAGCCTCCTAAAATGCAGTCGCTACAACAAAAAGATTCTTAGGTGCCAGCAACTCACACAGCAATCATCTTTTTTTTTTTTTTTAAGTCTTCTTAAATGGAGTTGAAAATTGATCTGTAAAATATCTCTGGATGTAACAACAACAACAAAAAACCCCACTTTGTTGTCAAGGGGAGGGTGAAGGGAAAATGGGATAGGACACAGACTGGTCCTATCTGGACTCCTACTGGAGTAGCTGAGGTTTGATGTTAAGCTGCTGATTCGTAGGAACAGGCAGAATCCGTTTGGTGGGTGCTTTACCGTGACCGTGAACTAGACAAAATGTTCTCTCTGCCTTCCTGACCTCCAGAGCCCACAGCCATCTTCCCCAGGCAAAGCGGCTCTTCCCCTCTGGAAGATTGGAAAGACTAAGCTAAAGGCATTTATTTGTATTATCTCACGTGAATGGGTCAGAAGAGGCTAGAAGTGGACCAGATGCCCTGGAACTGGAGTTCCAGACGATTGTGAGATGCCTTGTGGGTGCTTAGAATTGAACCGGTGTCCTCTGGAAGAGCAGCCAGTGCTCTCTTTTAACGCTGTGCCACCGTTCAAGCCTTCTCCCTCTTTCAAAGAGTGTGGTGGTTTGTTTATTAAGAGTCTCACTATGTAGCTTTGACTGACCTGGACCTTAATCTGTAGACCAAGCTGGCCTCAAACTTGCCTCTACCTCCCAAGTACTGAGGTTAAAGGTAGGTGCCATCATGCCTGGCATTTTTTTTTTTTTAATGATGCCTGTGCGTCTAGGTGTGGGTGTATACATGAGTGCGGGGGCCTGTGGAGAGCAGAAGAGAGTTTGGGTCCGCCGCAGCTGGAGTTACAAGCAGCTATAAGTCACTGTGTGCGGTGTTGGGAGCCTAACGCAGCTCTGGCGGGATCCGTATAAACTCTTCAACTACTGAGCCAGCTCGCCAGCCCAGGTGAAATGACGTTTCTGAGATGAAGAACAACAACAAAAGACGCTAGGCCCAACACAGCTTGGTTTTTCCCATTGATGATATGACTAACAACTGTTTTTAAGAGTTTGAGAAATTCCCTCTATCTTTTAACCAACAAGTCTCCCCCTGCCTAGGCCAAGGCTCTAGAAAATGAGTTGAGCTTTAGATTCTGAGCATCTTTTTCATGATTCTTGAAGACCTCATTTAGCAATTAATTATCTAATTAAAATCTGCATGGCAAAAGGACCGCACGCATTGCCTAGTGTGACATGGGGCTCCTGCTCCTGGTGCAGGCAACTTTCTCTTCATACACACACACACACACACACACACACACACACACCACCACCACCACCACATACACTATATCATACAAGCACACTCACACAGTCACCTACTCACATACCCTATCATGCACGCCACACACCACACACTCATGCTCTGTCACACACAGACACACACTCCATCACACACATGCGCACACACCACTTGCCGCCATTCCCTCTCTCTTCAGAGGGTGAAGAACAGATGCCTGGGAAGGCATCTGCCTGAAGTCTGCGGCTCGCGCCTTCAGAACTCCATAGGACGTGCCCGCTGGCCACAGGCCGCCAGTCCCTTGCTTAGCTGCAGCGCGGTTGGATCTGAAGGTTCCATCCCTCAGAGGTGCTGTGCTTCTAGCCTGCTGCGGTCGAAGAGCGACCCAGCACAGCGCCTCAGTGGGTCTGTGTGCTTGCTTTCAAATGGGGTCTTGTCACGGAACACTAGACCGTAAGCTCGGTTCTGCCTCCGCTCCCGCCTGCCTTCACTGGCCGCACCGCCATGCCTCGTTCCTGCTGTCTTTAACGAATCCCAGCTGCGGATTTACTGTCCCAAAGCTTACATAATCTGTGGGATTCAAAGGGGCTTCCTGGATCTAGTAGCTTCCTGAAAATCGGCAAGAAACTGATTACTAGTCTTACTTCTAAAATGAGGTAAGGATATTTATGGGTAATTCGCAGAAAGTGAACAAATGGCTTTACTGCTTTCTTGTTATTGGTGTTGGGGGGGGTTCGAATGTCAGAGGACAGCTTTTGGGAGTCAGCTCTCTCCGTCCACCATGGGTTCCAGGAATCAGCTTCAGGTTACCAGGCCGGCACAGTAAACACCTTTCACAACCGAGTCATGTAGCTGGCCTCTTTTCTGTTTCTTTTTGAAACAGCATCTCATGATGGCCAGGCCAGGCCAGGCTGACCTGGAAGCAGTGACGATGCTCCTGCCGTGGCTTCCTGAATGCTGAGATCAGACATGAACCACCACTGCTGGCTTGGGCTGACATTTTATTTACTTACTTCACAGAGGCGCTGAGGATTCGAACCCAGGTCCCATGCTTGCGCAGAGGACGCTCTTACCACTGCGACATCTTAAAGTACTTTAAAAGGTATTTTCATTTTATGTGTGTGAACACTTCCGCCTGCACACACGTGCACGCGGTCACTGCATGTGTGTATGATCGCAGAGGTCAAATGTCAGACCCCCTGCGGCCTAGAGATGGTTGTAAGCCGCCATGGAGGGAGGGGCTGGGAACCGCAAGGGCAGCAGTTTTAAGCACCGAGCCATCTCTACAGCTGCCTCACCACCTCGACTTACTTTTTTAGAAGTCTACTTGCTCTCAAGTGAGAGGCATGCAAAACAAACAGAAAATAAAACAAAACAAAATCCCACCACCACAATTCACCACCCGGCAGCTTCTGGGAAGATCAGGGAGCTGCTTAGCACACGGCCAGCCCAGCTCTCGTTGCTGGTGCAACCACCAAATAACGAATTCCACAGCCTCCATCATCACCCCAGAGCTCACCGCCCAGGATGCCTCACCCAGTCTCACTGGTAGGGGAGAGCCCATATACCCAGCCCTACTGTCACAATGGCTGTAACCACTAAGGACCACAAACCAAACCGAAGTCCTGTGAAATGTTTCAAAAATTCTCTCGAGTAAATAAAAAAAGAAAGGGGGGGGGAATTCACAAGGAATAGATGATAAAGGCAGAGAGGATGAGGAGAGTGGGCATCTGGCGTGGATGCTTTGCTGGGTACCCGCTGGCACCTTCTGAATTTAGAACCACATCAACAAGTTACTCAGAGAAGCAAAATTCAAATGATTGTGCCTACTGAAGCCCCGGGGGATTTCTGGCCTAGCTCCAGCTCACTGACTATTAGACTGTCTCCTGAAATGTGGCCTGCCTTCCAGAAGTCCATGGAACAAAAACTGCAGCGATCTCAGTCCAAGATGTGGGCTAGCTCTGTGAGGGTAGAGGGAAAGGATCTCCAGGGGGCACTTCCTTCCTTCACCTATAGGTGGGGATAAAAGGCTGCTTGCACTGGACAGCAGCACTCCATGGAGATGGGAGGGCACGCGCAAAGAAACAGGCAAGCACAAGCAAGTAACATAAAATAGAAACGAACTTTATTTCTCTGGAAGAAGCAAGTATCCATAGCTGGGGCGGCGACTTTGGCAAGAGAGGCTGATGGGAACACATCGAACAGCAACAGGGGAAGGGCAGGGGTCAAACAGGAAACTACTGGTGCCCCTGGGGTCTCCTTCCAACCCTGGGGCCTTGGGCCCTGGTCCCTGCCAGAGAAAATCCTGGCACCTTTTCTCTACTCCTGAGCCACTTCAGGCTGTTTACAGGTACAAGATCCTAAGACCGGCCAAGCCCACAAGTTCACAGTGAAGCCGAGGGTCACATTCTGTCCAACACTCCAAATGCCTACAGGGGCTCCCGGGCAAAAGTCCCAGCCCTGAGGAGGGCCTGTTGGGTGCTGGCCCACCCTTCTGTGTGGCCAACACATCCTTCTTGTCCAAGTCAAGCCTGGCTTCCTCTCAGTCCAGTCCCCCAAGGGAAGCCCAGGGCACACTCTAGCCACTAGCCCAGCCTTGATCTGGAGCCAGAGGCAGGTCACACACAGGCCTGCCAGGCAGCTTCCCGTCTTGTCTTCACAAGGCTCCTTCCCACCTCTTGGTTGGGGCTCTAAGGGCTGAACCAAGGTGTGCAGAACAGCGCTGGGTGGGTGAGTGAGGTGGGCAAGGGGGGCTCGCAGCCTCCTGCTGCCTCGGTCTCACTCTGTCCGCTGGGAGCAGCAGGCAGCAGTGGGTCTTCAGGCCTGAGGCAGGGCATCTCTCCACCCTGTCCCACAGACAGGCTCAAGTGGTTCCTTTAGGACAGACCATTGCTCTCCAGTCAACCGTCAGCGTCTGAAGGAGGAAATAACCAAAAAGTTCACCCATCAACAAGGGCTGGTTAAACAGGGAGTGACCGCCTTTAGGTACCATTCAACAGATTAAAAAACTCGTTTCAGGCAACAATTTTAGAGCTTACCCTAAAGTGCTTTTGATACACTTAAGAAAATAGTACCACCATGTGCTGGAGTATCTAAGGACAAGAGGATTTGCTTCTCGGGATGCAAATCAGGGACCCTACAGCTTAGTAAAGACTGTCCAGTGTGTCCGAAGGCCCCAGCCCTCTCCCCTGTGTTTCTGATTGCTTCTGATTAGTGCACCAAGTTGTGCCATGAAAGCAGCACAGACTGGAAGGCCCCTCCCAGGCGCCTGCCTCCCAGCACCCAGCCATGCTTGCTTCCGGGGATGATCCTGTCCTCACACTCTGCCCGGTTCCACCACTTTAGGGCTTGGTGTTTATCTGCTACTGTACGCCAGGCTGGCTGCCCTTTGACTTTTGGGGGTTATTCTGTCTCTGCTTCCCATCTCTCCATAAGAGCAATGGGGTTACAAAGGAGGCCCAAGGTATTATGCATCCAGCTTTTACATGGTTCTGGGGATTCAAACTCAGGTTCTCATGCATATGAGCTATACTTCTCTCTAGTATTGACTGGTACTTTAAACAGAAGTATGGTGAAAGAGGTAGAAAAAAAAATTGGTTCAACACTTAGGACTGGGACTGGAGAGATGGCTCAGCAGTTAAGAGCACTCTCTGCCAATCCAGAGGTCCTGAGTTCAATTCCCAGCACCCACATGGTGGCTCACAACCATCTATCAGGTAAATATTCAGGACTAGAATGGTGTTCCATGAAGCACTTGGGCAGCTAAAGAGGAGCTAAGGAAACTGGCTTCCTTCACCCAGGGTCCCCGTTTCCTCTTTCACTCATCAATTCATGGTAAAAACCAAGTATCTAAAAGGTCTAAGTGAACTCATTTAGGACAGTTCTTTTCCAGCAAAACCGCCTGCCTCTCGGGCCCTGCCCCTGCCCTCCCCCTACCAGCTGGGGAGTCCCAGGCTACCTGTGGCCCTTCAGGGATAGGTAGGTTTTCCCCACACCCCAGAGACAGCCTCCGGGGGGGGGGGGGGGCACAGCATGCGGCTCACTCACTTGTGGTGGGCAGGGCCACAGGAGCCCAGGAGGTGGCAGCCGGCTTGCTCCAGGTTCCAGTCGAACATCTCCAGGACTTTGTGGCACTCCCCTCGCGGCCGAAGACCCAGCCCAAAGAGCTGCTCCACCTGAGGGCCAGAGAATGGTGGTGCCATGGGACACATTGAGGCCAAGGGGTATTAGGACAGAATGAGGGCACGAGACTCAGAGCCAGCGGGCAGGGTCAGGTACAGCAAAGCCAGCTTTCGGGGCCCCTGCCAGAGCAGGCAGGAAGTAATGGTACCTTCAGATACTGGGCAGCCCTCTGCACACTCCAGCTGTGGCTCTGCAGGGCCGCCTGGCACTCCTCTGTGGTCACCCCATGCACCATGGCCTGCAGCTGGGCACACCCACCCATCAGCACCACTTGGGCCCATTCCTCTGGGTCCCTCAGACCCCTGCCCTTCACGTGGAAGTGGACCTGGCACTCACCATCTGGACCTTGTCTGCTGGCCGGGCAGCCTCTTGCCCGTCACCCGGGCAGCCCCTCTGCGGCAGCCGAGCAGTGGCCCTCGGGGCTGGTGGCCGGGCCCCCGGGTTGCTGTTATTGGTGGAGAAGTTGGCCTTTGGGTCTGGGGCAGCCTGAGGCATAGGTCGAACGGTGGCAGTGGGGGCAGCAGGGGCTGGGGTACTGGGTGGGGGCAGCAGCAGGGGCACGGGCAGGGAGGCCGGCTCTTGGGGGCTCTGGGCCTCCTGCAGGAAGCGCTGATAGCGCTCCAGGTAAGGGGGGCGCTCGGGCAGCAGGTAGTAGTGAGTACTGCTGACCTTCCTGCCATCACGGACAATGGGCAGGATGCAGGGGCCAGCCCGAGAGCCAGGAGCCTGGATCACTTGTGGCGTGGCATACTTCGGGTCTGAGGCGAAGCTTTGGGTGGTGGGCATGGTCTTTCCGGGTGAGCTAGAAAGCCGGTGTGGTAGTGGAGAGCTGCCAGGTGGCACTAGGGGACTTGGGGTCCTCGAACCTTGAGGGGACAGGGGCTCCCGAGGAGGCACCCGGGGAGGGGAGGCAGGTCCAGGCCACTGACTTGTCTCTTCCTCACCCGAGGGAGCTGGAGATAGCCCCACGCGGGAACGTGTGGGCCGAGGGGGGATAGGTACCCGGGGTGGCACCTGGGGCTTGTCATCACCCCCTGGGGTAGGGGAGGGGGTCAGCTGGCCGGTGGGGACCTGGAGCTGCCGCATACACTCCTGCTGCAGTGCCTGGAAAATCTCTGCTGTCTGGGCCGAGCTGGCTGGCTTGCCTCCACCCTGGGGTGGAAGGAACAGGTTATCCTCCAGGGCAGGGGGCAGCTGTGCCTGCTCAGGCACAAAGGCGTAATTGGTCTCGCCCTGGCTGGGCCCAGGAGGGAGCCCTGCACCCACTAGGGTGTTGTTGATAGAGCAGACCTCAAAGTCATCCTCATCTTGGGCCACATCATCGTAGGCAGGGGGTGGGGGCAGCGGACGGGCGTCCCAGTCTACTACGGGTGTGGGGTGTAAAGGTCGTGGCAGTGCCCGTGTGGGGCTCTGTGGCGGTGTCTTGTCCAGCAAGGAGCAGGCATCCATGGCCAACTGTGCCAAGGAGGGCGCGCAGGGCCGTGGGGCTGGGACCACGGGCTCCTCGCCAAAGTCTATGAGCGTGACCTCGCCCCCACTGCTGCGGCCTGCCTTGGTGCCTGGCACCCGGGCTGAGGGCTTTGCTAGCCACAGCCCTCGGGGCAGGCCTGGCTTCCTCAGGCAGAGCCTCTTAAAGTCGCTGGCCAGGGGGTCTTGGTCCTCACTCACAGGGTCATACGTTGGCTCTATGATTAAAAAAAAAAAAAAGTGGGGGGAGACCCCAAAAGGGAAATAGTGTCAGATGATATAAATGGGGAACAAGGAAAGGTAGGATGTGTAAAAGAAAGCCAAGTATCACCCCTCCCCCAACTATCCACTACCAACTCCCCTTCAGGTTAGCCCCTACTGTCAAGAGCATAGCCGACGCCACTCAAACAGGGCAGAACCTTCTCTCTCTGCCTTCAGGCCTCAGCGTGGGCTGGAGAGACCTCCCAACTCTACCTAAGCTAGAGCAAGCAAGACCCTGCTCGCACCTGGCTCTGATGTTCCAGAACACAAGAGCCCTGAACTCCTCGCTCCTGTTTAGTAATCTCTCACCCCACCTCTACTGTGGCAAACCATTAGAGCAGACTCGGGCCAACGGGAACTTCCCTCAGAGGACAGAGCTCCTGATAGCTACCACCACATCACAGATATAACCTCTGTAGGCCTGAAAGAGCGTGAGGCTGGCCAAGCCACAGCAGAGCAAGATCAAGGCCAGGCTTTGAGGGTACAGATCAGGGAGGCGGGCATGCCAGGCCGATTCAGCAGCAAAAGCTCACAGCACACACCCGCTTCCCCCTCCACAAAGCCAGCCACTGGGGGCTCTGTACCTTCCAGGAGAGGAGAGGTGAGAGGAGAGAGAGGGCGGGGGCAGGGGCCAAGGCACCCTGAGCAGCCCCACTTACTCTGAGTGAAGATGGCAGGCTGAGGTGGGCGAGGTGGAGGCTCCCCTGTAAGAAAGGCCATGCGGACAGGGGAGGCAGAAAGAAAGAATGTCCAAGCAAGGCAGGGGTGAGGTGGAGGAAGATAGAGCCAGACAGAGGGAAGAGTTGAGATAAAGAGAGGCAGAGAGGGCAGGGAGAAGGGGAGGGGGGCAGAGAGAAGGGGGAAGAAAGAGAAAGAGGAAGAGAGAGAAGGAGAAGGAGAGAGAGAGAGAGAGAGAGAGAGAGAGAGAGAGAGAGAGAGAAGGTGAACAGGAGTGATCAAATGCACAAACCCAACTGAAGATGGGAGGGAAAGGGGAGGCAGGATGGAACAGTCGTGTTCCAGAATGACAGGCATGGGATCTGGGAAGTGAGTGGGGCTCCTGGCTGAGACATAGCCCAGAGTCAGGTACGGGGGTGTTGGCTTGGGAGAAAAGAGCATGATTAGGAAAGTAAGGGGAGCTAGGATCTGAAGAGCCTGGCGAGGAAGGAGGGAGGAGGAAGCTGAGGCTTCAGGACCACCCCAAGGATACCCTCCTCGGCGGATACAGCTGCCTCTCCTCTCCCACCCCACGCCTGGCCAGAGCCAGGGATCCAGCTGTCCCACCTGCTGCCCTGACCCAACTGTCCCCAGAGCAGAACTGCAGGCTCAGGGTGGCTTAAGGCAGCGACCTCTTCTAGGTAGCCAGTGAACTGGGAACAGCAAGGAATGGAAGGGCTCTTACTTTTCACCCTTCCTAGATGCTGGGTGGGTCGGGAGGTGCTCAATTCTACACTCAGCAAGTCAGGAGGGTCCATGGGGTTTCCCAGGTAGAGCCTGTTGAGAGAGAACCAGGTTAAAGGGTGAAACGGTGGCAGACATGCAGGGCCCATACCCAAACGCCAGGCCCCACACCCCACAAAACCACCTCCTGAGTGTTTAGAGGACAATGCAAAGACTAAGACACATCTTAGAGGAAGCTGAGTGGCAGACCTGAGTCACAAGGCTGCCATTGGGTCTATACAGATCCTGATCCCTTCACCCAGAGGGGCCCACCATGGGGAAGGCACACCTGATCCAAGCTGAAAAGGCTTTCCTCCACGGGTTCCCATACCTTAGAAGCGTGAAGCTGATCCTTGATGACTGACAACACCCCAGCCCATGCCAGGCATCTACCTGCTGGCATACGCTGGTTCTACAGATCCTCCCGGGGGACTAGAGAGGAACATCTGCTGCTAGCCCCTAGAAGGGTGGGCAGGAGGCAGCTTCCTGCTGAACCACAGGAAATGTGGAGGATGCTGAGCTGCCCAGCCCCTGTGCTGACTGTGTATCTGGGATCTGTGACTTAGTCACCAAGGCTGATTAAAGCCTGGAAGAATGAGGCCGGGCTGGCTGAGGCACAACAGAAGTGGGACAGAGGGTGCAAGCCTCCAGCTGCAAGGGTCTCCCCTCCCCTCCCCCTACTTTCCTAGGGCCTCACCTGGTTCCTGGGAGGCAGGGACCTGAGCAGAGCCCTCTGAGGCCCTGATGTTCTGGTGTTGGGGGGCGAGCATAGGAAAACAAAGGCCTATTTTACTATACTCTGGGAGGAGGCAGCTGGAGAAAAGGCCACACAGAGGCACAGAGGCCTAGCAGGAGAGCTGACAGAGACTAAATAGGATGGGTGGAGTACCAAGAAGTGCCTAATTCTGCATTTTCCCCAGATGGCTCCCAGTGACCTCACTCTACCTAAAGGAGCCCGGGAATTCCTCCCAAGCAGAGTGAGCTCTGCACACACTGGGGGCATGCTAAGTTCCCTCCAGGTCTGTTCCCACCCTGGGAAGCAAACTCATCCCTGCCTGGACCTGTACACAAGACATGAGACCTGACCTCATAGGCTCAGGGCTGCAGAGCTCTGGAAACCCCTGAAGGAAAATGCTGTCAGAGGCAGGTGTCTTGAGAGAAATGCTTCCAAAGTGTCTCTCTATGTGCCAGAAGGTGTAGCCTCCTCTGGGAGAGTGACAGGGGACTTTTTAGCAAGTAAGAATGAAATCCTTGGGGTTTCATGACCTTGGTTTTATTTACAGTGGAGGAGTGCACACAGACAGAGACTCTGCCCCACAGATGTGGCAAAGCAGTACTGGGGAAAAGAGAATGCTGTTCACCCAGCATCAAGCGCCCTGGCCTCCTGACCCCCACATAATCTCAGCACCCACAGAGAAACTGGGACCTCCGCCAGCACCTACACCTTGTCCCAACCCGCCTCCATACCCTACTCTCATCTGGTAGGTGGGCTTCTGGAACAAACGAAGCAGAGAGAGAGAGAAGAAATGAGTAGTGCTCAGAGCCGCAGGAGCGTGGAGTGAGGGCAGACAGCACAAGCGAAGAAGATCTCTGCTTACTCATGCCTCAGACACCTACACATCTATTCTAAGGTAAAAGCTGCAACCCTCTGTGCGGGGCTGCGCGGCCTGCAGGGTGCAGCTCCCCTCCGCAGAGTCGGCGTGGGGTGACGGGCTGAGCCCACACGCCCTGCAGTGCTAAGCCAGGGTATGGAGGGAGGCCATCGAAACACCATGGCAGAGAACAACACAGTACAGAAACCTATGTGGTTCAAGCGGCACGCTCGTGTGGTATGGGGAGGGGCTAGTAATGTCGGAGCCCAGAACCAGGTCAGGTCGGCATCTCTCTCCCTGGTACTCACTCATCAATCCTGTCAGGGAAGCCCCAGCAGTGGCGGGGGTCACTGTCGCCATGCCCTGTGTGGATGAAGCTATTCTGTAGAGGCTGGCTGATGTCCTGGGCTGACAGGCCAGCCACGGAAGTCACCACATTTCGAGGGAAGGGTCCTACACATAGTGTCCGTGTGTTCTGGCCACGCCACCAGTAGTTCTCAGCCCTGTGCGACAGAGATAACACAGTGAATTAGCAGGTATGGGGGTGGAAGAGACCCCGAACAAAGGGACCCTTCTCATACCAAGGTCCCTTCCTAGTCATGGAACCTGGCTACCTTGGCAGAGGGGAAGCATTGGAGATAAGGCCTCAAAACCAGTCCAGATACAAGTCCATTTTCCACAACAGCAACACCATAACCCGCCACTCCCTGAAGAAGGCCTGGCTACTTCCTCAGCCTTACCCTGGGGTAGGTCAGGGAGCTTATTCTACAGTCTACAACTAAGGAAACTGCTTCCAACAGGTGACATGACTAGCATATTTACCAGGGTGATCACAGAAGACCCAGTATTCAAACCAATTGGCTCACTCTCACAATACCCGTTTTCCTCCCTCTAGGCAGGGTTTGGCCTTGGTCTTCTTAGGGCCACTAGATTCACTGTTCTGCAGGGTTATGGGAATTTTAAGTGATACAGCAGCCAAAGGAAGCCCCATGAGTTTAGGACCACTCCTTCCAATTACTGCTCAGCACTTGCATGCAGATCTGACCCACAACTTCTCTTCAGTGGGGCTTTGCACCACCTGGGAGCGAAGCTACGGGGCTCTAGCCTTGCTGTGCTCCCCGTTTTCTCAGGATGAGGCCTCTTCCCCCGTTACAATAAGGGGTCCAGAAGGGAAACTCAGAATTCCCAGTGTGGCAAAGCATGACGATCTCGGTCCCTCACTCGGCAGACAAAATATGAACAAACCTGTACCTGAGCCAGCTGAGGCCACACGGCAAGCAAGCAAGTAGAAAGGAAACTCCCAATGCCCCAAAGCTGGCTGCCGAGGCCCTACATCTGCAGCTCCTACCTGAAGATGTGGGCAGAGTCTGGGTTAAGGCACCCGTGGTAGCGGTCATGCTGCGGGGACACATCCATGCCACCACTGCCTGCCCTGCCCTGTCTCCTCCTCACCGTCATCTGCCCCGGAGCCAGAAGGGCCTCCTGTGAAACACGGCCACGAGAGAGGAGCTGGGGAGGTGCTGTGCCCCACCACGGCTGCCTTCTGGTCACGAAGACTGCTTGCTGGCCACCGCCAGACACAGCCACCCTGTGATTATCCCTGCCTGCAGGGTCGGAAGGGCAGGAAGGAAGGAAGAAGAAAGGACAACACCCGGAGAAGGAACAAGTCTTCTCTGAAAATAGCAGATCCATTCCGAGGAGAGAGGGACCTTGACACAGAGCTGCCCATGAGAAGCACAGGGCAGCAATGCCTGCCCGCACCCCGGGCTGTTGCCCCAGCAGCAGCAGCCCCTCCACAAGGCTGGGCACTAGTCCTAGACTTTACTCTGCCCACCTCCTGAGGTGCTCCTTAACTCAGCCGCAGCTGAGGTAGAAATGTTACCCAAACATTCTGCTCACCACACACACAGCCCTACCCTGTCCCCCTGAGGGGACAGACTTGGTGCCTGACACCCCTTCTACCACAGAAAATGAAGGCTATAGGACAAGACAGGCCAAGAACCTGCCAACGGATTTCAAAACCTCTGCCCCTACTCAATAAAACTTCTGAAAAAAACACACAAAAGGATGTAGCCATCTTACCCTCCAAGTAAGGCCCCTGAGGGAGGCCAGCCACCACTTGCATTTATAAGTCTGTTTTCATTTTTATTTTATTTTTTTAGGTTTTTCTGCATAGGGTCTCTCTATGTAATCCTAACTGGAATTCACTTTGTAGATCAGGCTGGCTTCAAACTCAGAGATCTTCTGGTCTCTGCCTCCCAAGTGCTGGGATTAAAGGCGTGTGCTACCATGCTCAGTATATCCAAACGTTGACAGAGCCCCCTAAACTCTGTCAGAATACATAGGTGGCCCCCATCTACCCCAAATCCTGAGGACTGAGCTTAGAGAGTCTGAGCTCTGGTACTCATTCATAGAGCTGGGACTAGGAAACATACTGAAGATAGTTTTGGAGAAGAGAAATAGAAAGCCATGAGACAGGGGGTAAGAAAGTTAAGAAGAGCCAGAGGAAAAGAGCCACAGAGACAAACCAACCCAAAGAGACACCGCAGCCATGCACCTAGAGACATGGAGACTCGGACAAACAAACATAGCAATCTGGGGGTGAGAAGAGGGAGGGAAGCTCCGGCAACCACAGACACACAGGCCCACTCCCAACGGCTCACCGGCTGCTGTGGCCTCATGCCCCTGACCTCCCACCGCCTGAGCAGTTCCAGGGGCCAAGCAAGAGCTGGCACTTCAGAGAGAGGCGTTCTAGGAGCTGAACCATCCGCTGTGGCGGCATCAGCAGCTGAAGCCAACAGGAGCCTGAGGCGGAAGGGCAGGACGGGGTGCACCCAGGACAACCTCCCAGGAAGAACAACTCCCCTGGCCCCTCCTGCAGCCTGCTTTGTTCTCAGTGACCCAGGGCACCACTTCCAGAGACACACTGCAGTTGCCCCCAGGGAACATAGGCTCCAAGTGGAGCTGGAGACAGGACTAAAAAATTTGGAGCCAAGCTGGCTCCAGAGCTTTCGGGCTCCTATAAGCCGGAGTGGCTCCAGGCATTAAGTCTCTGTCAGGTGCCTCCAGGACGGGGCTCATGCCACCCCCAATCTTCCCATCTCCTATGCCCCTTACTTCCCTCTCAGGCGCAAACACATACATGGTTCCTCTCTGTCTCCATGTCTCCCCTAGCAGTTTTCTTTTCTTTTCTTTCCTCTTTATTTTAGTTTTTTGAGACATGGTTTTTGTTTTTTGAGATAAGGTTGCTATGTGCAGCCTTGGCTGTCCTGGACTTGTTTTGTACACCAGGCTGGCCTCCAACTCCCAGTGATCTGCCTGCCTCTGCCTCCCAATTGCCAAGATTAAAGGTATGCACCACCACCACCTGGCTTCTACTTTCTTCTGTCACCAACAACTCCCCTTCTCTGCAACCTGCTACAACATCACTCATGTCCCAAAAATGGAACAGGAGCCCGACATGAGAGAGCCCGTATAGCGGGACAGGGGCTACAGTGGTATAGGCAAATCCAAGACACTCAGGGCCCATTCCACTGACTCAGGCTGAGACTCACCCGCACTCACCAATGCCAGTAAGGCACAAGAAATACCGAAGGGCCCCTGCAGGCATCCCTACCCAGTTCTGAGTCAGAGGAGGCAGGGACAGAAATCCCCCTCTGCCTCACTTTTCTTCCTGGTCCTCAACACTCACCCACAGTTCCAAAGCAGAGATGCCCTGCCCCAACCAGTTCCTCAGACAGTCTGCAGATCAGGTGACTGGAGGCAGGACCAAGAGGGTAAGGCCAGGGCAGGTGCTGGGACTAGACATCTGGGGGAGCAGGTAGGAGGCTGATTCTAGGGTGCTGCTGGGAGGCTAGGGTTTCAAGCTGGTCAGACACACGGCAGACCTTACCAGGAAGAGCTGGGAAAGGAGTGGGGAGGGGGGGGGGTCTGGGCATCGGGTGGAGGAAGCACCCCAACTAGGAAACCCTGGGAGGCTCACCAGGAGGGGTGGAAAGCTGCCAAAAGGGTGAGGCAGAGCAGGGGGAGGCTGTTTGGGAGTCTGAAAGGTACCCAGGTGAGTAAGTAGTCAAGTTCCTATGCAGCTGGGCATGGCAGCCCACACTCACAACCCCAGTACCTGGAGGTAGAGGCAGGAGGATAGGGTGTTTAAGGCCAGCCTGAGCTACATGAGACTTTCTCTCTAGAAACTGGGAGGCAGGGACTCCTGTGCTGGAGACAGCAGAGGGAGAGGACGAGAACACTCAGAATTCTAGTGCTGGCCTCCAGGTCTGAAGCCAAGATGGGCCACAGCCTAATCCTCACCACAAGGGCAGTTCAGCTGTAATACCATGGCCAGGGCTGGAGCCCAATGGGAAAGGGCAGTGGGGCTGGGGTCAGGCAGGAAAAATCCCACCTAGCAGCTCTCAGTAGTGTGAGCGAGGACTGTCACCTGACACTGCCCGCTCCTGCCTACATGATGCCATGGGACTCTTGGAGGCAGAAGGGGTCTACGTACCTCTCCAGCCCATGCCCTTTACGAATCCCAGTGTGGCCCACAGCCCTACCTTCCCTCGATGACAGTGATGACGTCATTCATCTGGATGTGCAGCTTATCTGGCTCCTCGAAGTCCTGAAGGGCCCGCATGTCAGTAGGCTGAGCCTGGGGGCAGAAAGAGGTCACTGCCCAACCCAGGACTTAGCTGCCCACTAGCCCCTCCCCAGTCACTGTGAGCAGATCGGCCCCTCACCTCCAGCAAGAAGTCTCGAAGGGCCACAAATGTGGGTCTGTCCTCTGGCTTGTGTGCCCAGCACTGGACCATAACATTGTAGATGTCTTGGGGGCAGTCCTCAGGCCGGGGCAGGCGCTCCCCTTCCTTGTCAATCTTATGCAGGATCTGCCAGCCAAGTGATGCAGAGGTTGGGGCAGCAGTGCTTGCCTCTTCACGTCCTACCTTTCTGTTGACCCGTCCTACAGCTGAACACGCCCGCCCACCATGGGAAAGTTCCGTTCCTAGGGAAGCCTCCATTCCCAGAGCCCCTGAGACCTTTATTGCCAGCCTAACTCTGCCCAGAACTCATTTGTGTCTCCCTAACCCCACCCCTATCCTGTGGCATTCTGGGCAAGCCCTCTCTTTGTTAAGCTCTCAGGGACCCCATGTCAACGTGGGATAGGTGAGGGAGAGATGGGGGTCTACCAGAAAAAAAACAGTTGCAAGCACCCTGTGAGGAACCCACCCCAGCCCTGTCACCTGGCTGCCGTTGAGGCCAATCCAGGGCTCCTGGCCATACGTGAACATCTCCCACAGCGTGACCCCAAACATCCAGGTGTCGCTGGCATGGGAGAAAGTCCGTGTTTTCAGGCTCTCAGGGGCACACCTGGCAAAAGATAAAGGTTAAAGGGAAGGCTTGCTAGGGACCTCTACTTGTTACCCCCTTTAGCTACCTCTGGCACCATTACTCTATGATCTCAGCAAAGGATCAGCCCAACCAGAGGCAGGGCAGGTACGGCCACGTGCAGGTGGACAGCGCTAGTCACGTCCTACAAGATGTGGCCTGGTCTACAGCCACCAGCTCTACCTAGACACACCTGCTGACCATTCTGCCTGGCTACTCGCCATACAGTTCAAACTTAACAGCAAAGTCCTCCAGGAAGTCTTTTAACACCCCAGCAAGTAGCACTGTCCTTCGGATCCCACAGGCAGTTACTCTGTGCCTTCCAGTGTCCCTATGGAGAATTCCCTGGGTGGATGTGCAAACCTATAAATACGGTAAAGAAAGGCACCCCAGGCCCAATACGGATATGATAACAACAGGCCGGGGCAGACAGTCCTGTGGTGGGTAACAGAGGCCTCAGAAGTTTGAGGCTTGGGGGTCTGCTGAGACTGGAGTGGAGCTCAGGCCCTACAGCCAGCAGCACCTGCCCCTCACCAGGCAAAGGGCACCTTGCGATGTTCTTGCATGACATAGTGGTCGTCATTCTGGGGCAGAGCTCTCATCAGTCCAAAGTCCCCAATCTTGACCAGATCACGAGTAGCCAACAGCAGATTCCGAGCAGCCAGGTCACGGTGAATGAAGCGCTTGGACTCCAGGTAGCCCATGCCCTCAGCCACCTGGACAGCGTAGCGGCTCAGGGTCCCCAACAGGAAATGCCCTTGGTGTTTACGTAGTCGGTCCAACAGGGATCCCAGAGGTGCCAGCTCTGTCACCTGAGGCCATACAGAAGACACAGAGGATAAAGCCGGTAGGTCTCGGCCACTCTCCGGGGGTCAAAGTTTCCAGTCTCTTTCTGGAGGGAGGTCTCCCATAGCTGTATTCAGTATTCCTTCCTGACCTGTCTGTTGAAAGCTTCCACAGAGTCCAACAGCTTTCCAGGCCTGTCCCTTCAGCCACCCCAAAACCTGAGCCCCAGAGAGAAGCACCCCAAAGAGGCTCAGGCTAGAATCTCCAAAGATCAACTCAAGTCAAGTTGTGCCCAGCCATTCCTATGGGCACAACTCCTTGCCAATGAGCACTAGAAAACCTAAAGATGACAGTGCTAGGCAGGACCCTGGTAAACCCCTTTGCCACGTGTGGTGGGATACTACCGCAGGCAGGAGGCAGAGCACATCTGGGGCCTACAGCCTGCAAGCTCCTCTCTGACCCTCCCTCCTACCCAGGCACTCACCATTTTCATAGGTGGCGTGAGTACCACACCATACAAGCGAATGAGGTTTCGATGGTCAAGTGAATGCATGGCATTGACCTCCCGGATGAAGTCGTCCATGGCCTCCGGCTGGCTCAGCACATCGGGTTTCAGGCATTTCACGGCCACACTCACCTGCCCAGAGCAGGGTTAGCAGGGAGTTAGACCTTTCATCGTCCCCAGCACTGAGCTAACTGCTCCTTCTAACTCCGAGCCAAGGTCCTTGTCTCAGACCTGTTTGCCTGGGTGTGGTGTGGTGTCACCAATTTACATACTATGGCCCTTGCCTGGGGAGAGCAGCTGACTGACCTCTAAAGGTCATTAAATGTAGGCCTCCTCTTTCTGGGAAAATTCCTAAATCAGCAATGACAGTAAATTAAGAGATGAGCACTATGAAGACAGAACAGTAACTAAAATGCCATAATCTATGGAACTGCAGGATGCCACGGCAGCCTCCCTTAGAAAATGGGGTGCTGAGTGACCTGGGCTGGCCAGAGCCTGTGGGGGGCCTGGCAATTCCAATATCCTGTCTGGGAAGTGCTTCTGGCCCACACACGTATTTAAAAATCAGTATCCATTCATTCATTTTCTCCATCTGCACATGTGTGTTTACTAATGCAGACATTTTAAAAATATAATTAGGAGAAGAAGGGTCTATGGCTTAAAGAGGTAAATCAAAATTGTCTCAGTGGTGGTGACATGGCTTAGCGGGCCAGCACTTGCTTCAAGGCTAGCCCACTACCATGAAGAAAGGAGAGAACAGAGAGAGAGAAAACACTCTGTCATTGCAGGTTCAAAGCCACCCCTGGTCAACCCATCAAGATTCGGTCTCAGAACAAAACAGTATCCTAAATGAACCCAGCAAAACACCTGCTGGGGCTGGGGTGTAGGCAAGGCAACTTGCAGCTCTGCCTCAGCCACCTGGCGGAATTGCAGACCGCTGGTTTTCATTTCCCTGTGTCCAGCCTTTCACAGTAAGCAAACTATTTTTAGGCTTGAGAAAAAGCAGCCTCTGTGCATAGCAAAACCTGAACGTGGCTCAAAAGCGAGTATTTCACAACCTGTCTCTAGGAGTATTTCACAACCTGTCTCTAGTCAGCCATGTTCTGATGAGGGGGGCACCCCGGAGCTCACCGTCTTCCCGGCAGGGGAGTCCCATTCGCCCCTGCGCACCACGCCAAAGGAGCCGTCTCCCAGCTTCTCCAGGAGGCGCAGGTCCTTCTCCCCGATGAGGCAGGTGAGGCTCTGCAGGGTCCCCTCCCCTGCCAGGGCCCCTGGGGTGGGTGAGGGCTTCCGGAAGGTGTTCTGAGAGTGATGGGGAGGGAACTCAGCCTCCAGCCGCTTTCCACTGAACACCTGTTTGAAAGCAGGCAGGAGCCAGATGGAACCCAGGGCCCCAGAAGCACTCGGTCCCGCCCTACTGGTAAGCCTTAGGCAGCTCCTGGCTTTGCCAAGCTGCCCAGGAGCAGCCCCATTAAAGGCTCACACTTCCTCCAAAGTATCCCTTAACTGGGAGCCCACAGCGGAAGCCTCAGGGCAGGCATCAAAAACAGATAAATATGCAGCTTGTGGCTGAAGCAACCCCAATTGGTCTGTGAAGACAGAGAGCCCAAAGCCCTCTAGGTACACCCCCATCCTAGGTCTTCAGCTCCTCCCATCCTACCCTTCCCTTCCTGAACCTCCTATACAGCACAGACTCTTGACCCTAGCACACAAAAGGAGGGCAGGAGCCCGAGGGGCCCTCCAAACACCTCCCTGTCCATTTTTAGCCCTGGCCCCTTCTCTGGGTTAACCATTTGGCACTGTCTGTCTCTACCCTCCCTGGGGAGTCGGCTGCCCTTCATCCTGCCCAGGGGAGAAGATAATTTTAGTCTGAGGTTGAACCATGAGTGTGTGTGACGTGTGTGTATGTGGCGCAGATGAAGCCAGTCTTTGCTGGAAAAGGGCCTGGGAAGACAGCTGGGTTTCTGGAGGGGCGCCTAGAGCCAAAGGCTGAGAAGGAAGGAAGACTAGAAGGGTCTCCAAAGCCTATTTTGGAGAAGGAAGGGCCAAAGGTCAGGAGACAGGAAGGGAAGGACCAGGAATGAGCAGACCTGGTCATGCAGTCTGCCTTGGGCCCCTCCCCCGGGGCCCCAAAGCTCACACTGCAGGCTGCAGACTTCCCCAAGAGTTGGCCAGCCTTACCTGCACGTGCTAAGGGGCAGCTCCAATCTTTGCACCTTTTTGAACTCTGTAATTAGGGTTCCTTCCCACTAATTAGGATTCCTAATATCTGCCAAGAACATTCAGCTTACAGTGTCTACCTCGGCCACTGCAGCCAGGAGGGCCCTTCCCACAGCCCTGCAGGTGAGCTGGGTAATGGAGCCAATACTGGTTTATCGAAGACATGGGTTTAGAGAGGGCCACTGACCACTCAAGAGACCTACTATGGGGGGCGGGGGAATAGATCCAAAAACTCCACACTGCTTTCTCTCTCTCTCTCCTAGAGTCAATCAGTCCCAACACACTCATCCTTAGCTAAAACCTGGGCAAAGGACCAGGACTGTGTCCCCAGAAAAGGCCACAGGCTCTCAAGAGACAGACCTTTTGCCAAACTGCAGTCAGGAAATCTCTACTGCCCAATCTCAGTCCAGCTGTTCTGCCTGCTCACCCCCACCCCAGGGAGGCCAGAAGTGGGGAGGGAGGCCCTGGCTGGCTCACTTCCTCTCTCATTGTCTTCCAGACAATGGGAAAAGTTCCACTGAGTCAGATGGGGACTCACAACACCATAGACCCAAACCAGGGTGGGTGGGGGGAGCTGTGGGGAAGTGGGGAAGGAAGCTGTCAGCACAGCCTGATGACCAGAGGAACCTGAAGAGCAGGGGCGGTGGGGAGGGCAGAGCAAGGCAAAGCTGTCCAGACAGTCCCCCACCACCCCACGCTGGACACTGGCCCGACACCCAAAGGAAGGAGTACTTGTCAACAAGTCCCTGCTCCCGCACACAGGGAAGGTGAAACCCTCGCCATTCACAGGCTATTCACGTGTCCGTCTGTGGCGGAGACAGACGCTTAGCCGGGCAGCTCCACAAGTGCCCTGCCAGATAAGAGCCTGGAGGAGGGAGGTCTGTACAAAGTGTGAGGGAACGGCTGAGATTATAGCTCTGGGGAACAGGAGAAGGGTCCTGGGGCTGCCAGCAGCTCGAGGCCCTGGGGCGCCCCTCCACTCCCACACGGTTTACTCACACACCTTGCTCATCCATGACTTGCGTTTGCACATGGCCTTCCTCCTCTTCACAGCCTCCCACAGCCGCCTCTGGCCTGCAAGGAGGAAAAATGAACCCAGAGCTGTCTCACAGCTCACACACCCTCCCGAAGGGGCTGCTGTCCACCCAACAGGCTTCCTCGGTCTGGGGTGGACCCACCAAGAGATGCCGCTCAACACGACACCAGCTCATCAGCTGCCCAGCCAACCAGGAGTTTCATTCACCCAACCTCTGCATTCTATCTCTAGATGATTCTCAAACTGGGTGGAGGTGTTTACCCATCAAAACTGGGGTGGTCAGTTACCTATCCAACTCTCCAGACAAAGCAGGTAAGGAAATGCACAGAGTTTTCTCCATCTAAGGTCTGCCTCCCATAAAATTTCCTTACACTCTTGACATCAGACACTGTGCTAGCTGGTTTTACGCCAACATGACACAAGCTAAAGTTATCAAAGGAACCGCAATAGAAAAGATGCCTCCGAAAGGTTGGGCTCTACGCAGAGCTGTAGGGCATCTTCTTAATCAGTGATTGACGGGGGAGGACTGGCCCCTTCTGCATGGAGCCGCCCCTGGGCCGGTGGTCCTGGGAAAGCAGGCTGAGCAAGCCATGGGGAACAAGCCAGTAAGCAGCACCTCTCCATGGCCTCTGCATCAGCTCCTGCCTCCAGGTTCCTGCCCTAGTCAGAGCTCCTGTCATGATTTCCTTCAATGAACGGTGGTGTGGGAGTGTAAGCCAAACAAACCCTTTCCCCAATAAGTTACTCTGGTCATGTTTCATCACAGCAATGGTAACCCAAACTAGGACAGAAATCAACTATCCAAGCCAAAAGTAGTGTAAGTTAGTCTTTTTTTTTTTTTTTTTTTTTTTTAACTTGTAAAACATTTGGCAGTTCTGAGCTGAACACACTAAGGTTTCCAATTGTGTTTTTTGGGACAGTCTACTGTAGCCCAGGCTGGCTGAATTGGCTATGCAGCTGATAATTCTGAGCTTCTGATCCTCCTGCCTCCACTTCCCGGGGTGTCTGTGTTTGTGGTGCTGGGAATGAAACCCAGTACTTCACTCTTAACAGGTGAGCTCCACCCCAACCCCTGATAAATTTCTCATGTTCTACAGAGAACAGTATGACATCTAGACAGTCCCTGCCAGTTTTAGTTTAAAAAGAAAGATAAAGTATCAGCATGTTGGCAAACCATCTGAGAGACATCTTTATTTACATAGGTGCCCTGCCTCCACGTGTATCTGTGTGAGGACGTCAGATCCCCTGGAACTGGAATTGCAGACACTTGTGAACTGCCATGTGGGTGCCATGTGGGTGCTGGGTCCTTGAGAGGAACAGCTGGTACTCCTAACCACTGAGCCATCCCTCCGGCCTGAGATGTTCTTTAATGGGTTTTATTTATGTATGTATTGTGTGTGTGTCTCAGTGTACGTTGTATGTATGCAGGTGCCCACAGGGACCAGAAGAGGAGCCAGACCCTGGGAGCAGGAGTTAAAGGCCGTTCCAAGCCAGACTCAGGTCCTCTACAAGAGAACAGTGCATGCTTTTAACCACCGAGCCATTTCTCTGGCCCCATCTGAGAGTTTTTTGTCTTCTCTTCTCACTGTAGGTCCCTTGGCATTTACCCACTGGTGCTCGGGATGAAAAACAGGCTCATTCTACACTTACAAAAGAGACACAGGAAACACATCCCACAGATATCTGACTAAACACAAAGCGGAAGGGCTAGAGAGCAGCCCTGGTAGCACAGGCCTGCAATCCCAGCTACAGAAAGGCTGAGACAGGAGGAGATCAAGTTCATGGTCTGCTTGGGCAACAGAAGGTTCAAGGCTACCCTGGGTAACTTACTGAGATTCTGTCTCAAAGACACAAAGCACAGAAAGATCCACAGCTTAAGCTCAGCTGTGGAGCGCCTGCCTAGCAAATGAAAGGCCCTGGGTTCAATTACCAGTATCTCTTTTAAAAGGGGAGTGTGCAGGGAGGCATGGAGGCTTGGGATGTGCTCACTGGCAGGGCGCCCAGGTAGCACAGGCAAGGCCCTAAATCCAATACCCAGCAGTGGGGGGAGAAAGCCAAAAAAAGTTGAATGAAATTAACTCTGAGCAATCACAGCTCCAAGACTCCACTCTCCTCAAATTCCAGCTCACATTTACAACTACCAACCATTCCCTGGACACCCCGTGAACAGTACCTCACTTATACCCTCCCACTCATGTCAAGGGCTCTGGGCCAGGGGCTGGCAAAGTTCTCAGCTGCCATGGCAAAGGGGTTCTTCATGTGCCGGGCCACCTACCAGGGCGGCCCATGCCAATCTTTTCCAGGTCTTCGTTCTTGACATATTCAAAGTGGGACAGGCGGGTAATGTTGAGGTCATCGCGAAGCCTCAGGAAATACTGTTGTAGCTGCACCTCGGACAGAAGCTCCAACAGCCAGCCTGTTCCCTCCTCTGGCTGCATGCTGCTGCTCCCTAGCCTCTGTGGAAAAGGAAGAATAGCTGAGGGGCCAATGGATATGAACATATGGCAGAAGATTTGCCCACCAGTGCCCTTGGCTCATGCCCATCCTACAGAACTCAGAGCTACCTAAATAAGCCAACGTGGGGCACCTGAGGTGAGCCTCAGACCAGAACAGTCAGGAACCGAGTTGTACTCCCAAATCTGTGCTCTCTGGGGAAACCTCTAAACCCTTTGAGACGGATTAGTAGTATCAGTCATTTTACCCCTAAAACTTGATTTAAAATTGGGGTACAATGGCTTTTTGAGATCCATTCACTGAATCCCTCATCCAACAGACCCCACAGAAAGCTCGCAATCAAATTCTCACTGCCTAACATTGCCACGGCCCGTTGGTCCGTGGGAAAGGCCTGGCAATGTTAGGCAGTGAGTGTAGACACTCAAGTGCCTACAGGGTCATAAGACAGAAGAGAAGAGGATGAAGTGTGGAGCAGATGTTTTCAGACATCCCAGTAGATGGGAGCTCATGCACCATAAGCAGCCATCGCAAGAGACTGAGGCCCAGAGCTAAAACTTGTCAGCTCTGCAGTACCAGGTGTGTGAATGCATATGAAATCTTACCCTCAAAGATATATTTGGGATGGCAACATAAGTACATGGGGCACAGGGGACCCTCATTCTCTCTCCAAGTATGCAGCCACCTAGCTCCTAGTCCCCAAAGCCAGCTGCCAATGTCTTCTATGCGTCCTTTTAAGATACAAATATTGACATGTTACTCATACTGCCTGGTTTCTTGTTTTTCACTTAACATTTTATCTTTCTCGACTTTTAAGTGACTCCAAACAGTGCAACTTTGAAACATGTGAGTACATATATACACAGACTATACTGGCAAAACAGAATGTACCTGCAGGCCCCAGTCAGCCAATGCTGAGTGACCTGTCTGTTCTATACTCTCCTGGGTCCACAGAAAAAGGCCAACACCACCTTCAAAGCTAAACGGCCAGAGCCATCTCTGTCTGGGTAAAGACCTCTCAGTCAAGATCTTGCCCAGACTGGACTCTGCCTCACCTCAGGCCCTGAGGAAGACGAGAGGTGAAGGGAAAAGGCCAGCTGTCCGGTTAGAGGCCAGGGGACCCCCTTGTGTACACAGTGCACTCTCAACACAGACACAGAGAAACAGGCCCACAGCGCCCAGGCCCAGCACGAGCCTCCTGTCTCCACAGTTCCCAGTGGTCCTGCCAGCACAGCGCCAGCAGCTCAGACTTTCCCAGGCAGCTTAGGGCAGCACAAAGAGTAACAAACGTGAATGACAAACCCTTGGTTCAAACCCTGGCTCCTCCACCAAGGAGTCTGGGCCAGGCAGCTGGGCCGGCGGGTGGCTTCCAAACATTAAGCTGTAACCCTTTATTTGAATGGCTCTCCTAAGGGCTGGCCGAGCCTCCAGACAGAGGATATGTTTGTTTGTCACAGTGTGTGTGGGGGGGGTGTAGTGACATTTAGCAGGGGGTAGGGGGATAGGAACATGAGTTACTCTGCAATGCACAATATACAAATGCCACACTTCATTCTTGCAAGCGAAAACCGTCAGAATCAGACTCCAGACTTAGATTCCATTTTATATATATATAACACTTTTGTGGTTTCAACATGGCCTGATTTTCCTTGAACTGGGTAAACTGAGGAAAATTGTATTTTATCTGGAACATAGCAAAAGTCCACTACCTGGATGGAAAACATTAGTGAGGAATGCACCCTTATTATCTAAAAATGCCTCTCAGAGACACTGCTGAGGCTGGAGCCTCTTTCTTCTTTCCTCCTTCACCCAGTATAGGACAGAATACATAAAGTGTATTTACTTCTCTAAATACGTATTTGTTTCTCTAAGTATTATAGTCGGCACCATGTTTATTGGCTCCACACATATTTAATATGCCACACTGCTATTAATTTTGTGGAGAACAACAAAAATAATATATTAATACTTCAAAAATATAGTTCTGGGGCGGGAGAGACAGTGTGGAGGTTACGAGGCCTCACTGCTCTTCCAGAAGACCCTGACTCAATTCCCAGCACCTGCATGGCAGCTCAGAATCACCTGGCCCTCCCCTAAGTCTCCCTCCAGCCTAAGTTCCTTGTCTGTGAAGCATAAGGCACTAGAGCAGTGATGGCCAGCTCAGGCAGTCTCCAATCCTGTGTGTGTGGCCGGCAGCCTGGTGTAGAATCTGCACCAGCTGTGTGCGACATCCTCGGCTCCATGGCCTGCATGTAAGCAAGCACTCACTAGACTGACCACACACACACACACACACACACACACACACACGCACACACACACACGCACGAATGAATGCAGCGGCTAGAAAGGAAAAGCTTCCCAGCCCACACACCTCAGGAAGGTGTCCTTCAGTCATGTCTACTCTTTCCCCCTCTGTACAGTGCTGCCCCTGAGGGGCTGTGTCCACAGCCAGCCCAATTCCCGCCCTAGAACCCCACTCACTGTGTACAGACGTCGGCGCAGTCTGGCCAGGAGAGGGAAGGAGAGCTCAAGGCCAGGGAACCGACGGGCTGCCGGCATCTTCACAAACTGAAGCCCCTAAGCAAGTCACTGGAGCTATGCCTAGCGCTAAAGCGGTAAGGCAAGGGCCTCAGCCTCTGAGCTTTACGCTCTGCCCAGAAGGGAAACTGGCCAGGGGGTGGGGGAACCTGTCCTAGAAATCCCCCAAATCCCACACAGAAGTAGGAAACAGGGAAGAAGAATGCAGTGTCGGCTTTGCCCCACTGCAAGCCCGGCTGGGTTTCCACAACTGGTCGCAGGCTGGGTCCTCTGTCCTGCCTCCAATGCAGTGCTCACAGCTCCAGTCGTCCTCCCCAGGCTTCCCCCTGCCTCCTGCTTGCCCGCCTGTACTCCTTCTTCCCTCCCTCGCTGCCTCCCTCCCTTCCCAGCTGAGCGGCTCTGACACTGGCTGAAAAAAGACCTTTCTGAATCACTGCCAAGAGGACAGCAGGAATGGGGGGGGGCACTCTTCTTCCCACTGGCTCCGAGACTCCCCAGACACAAGGCTCCCTGTCTCTAGCTTGCACTGAGGCCCTCACGGGTGCAGACAACTCCTGGGACTTCAGCGTGGGGGCTGCCAATCAAGGAGCACATGTAAAAAGGGGCTACAAGCCCCCATAAGGGCTTTTCTGGGTGTACAGGGACTTGAATGTAGCCTCAATTGGGGCTTGGATTCAGTGTTTTCCTGGATTCTGCAGACAGATCCTTCTGCGACCCTCCCCCCACCCAACATCCCAACCTTGGCTGGGCGTCTCCTGGCTCAGACCCTAATGTGGCCCTGTTACCCTGGTGCCCGACGGAAATAGGAGGCAGGCAGCCTGCCAGAGTGGGACAGTTCAGCCAAGAGCGGTTGGGGGGTGCGAATCTCCACCCCTCTCCTGGGATTGCCTTGTGTACTGCCCACAACAACCAGGGTGCCTACACCCCATATTAGCTGGCAAAGATCTAAAACTCCCTCTACATAAACAAACATGTCCCCAGCCCTCTGCTGGGATGCTCCCACCTCAAAGCTACAGGAGTTCAGGCTGTAGGATATATATCCTGTACAGCACCCCACACACGTCACAGCTCCAGCCTAAGGGATCTGGAAGTATCCATCAAGCCCCTATGGGCCCCTATATTCCTACAGCTGACAAATGGTCCCTCTGCCCCTCAAGGGTGCCAGCTGCTCTACACCCCCTCACTACAGCCCCCAGATACACCTGACAGCTGCAGGAAGTCCTCTTCTGCGCCCCAGATCCCAGCCCCCCCCCATGCTTAAGGAGCCCCTGTTTCTTGTACACTGCTCTCTTGTTCCTATCCAGATGGCTGCCAGCTCAGGGAGTCACAGCTGGCTCATGAGGGAGGCAGCTGAGGTTGCGAGTCTTGGGGAGTCAGCATCCCAGACTCTCTTTCTAGGATCTCTTCTAGTGTTTGAACTCCCTACCTGGAAGGAGAGCCATTTCCTATTCTGACGGGAGGGGGCGGCAATAACCCTTCCCCAGTGCCAGTATTCGTACAAAAATTGTGGACTGCTGTGTACAGCCTCTCTTCGGGCTCAACGAACAACCGGTGTGAGGATTAAGGTCAAAGCTAACGTGCAAGCAAGGTCAGGCTGAGAATTCATGGACACTGCCTTTCTCTACAGGTTGACTGACCACGCCCTCAGACTGGAGAGACTACAGCCTATCCATCAGCCCCCACTTGAAGCAGACCCAGGAGCCTGGGGTTACTGGTAAATTAAGCACGTTGTTACCGCTACTGCAAGCTGAAACTAATCAGGATGGCCAACTTAAACGTTCTAGCCACCCCAGGAAGGCACGCCCAAATCCACCAGAACCCCATGCCTGATTCTTCCCTCAGAGGTCTAAGAAGACGACCTGGAAGCTTACCCCAAATCCAGCTGTGGGAGACTTGAAGAGAGGCAACATACATTGCGGGATACGGGAGCCAGGTCAGTTTCTGGACCGCTTCCTCGCCTGGGAAAATAGCCCTGACCTTTCTGCCTCTCGCCCAGGCACATTCCCATCTCCTGCCAGCTACTGCCCTCTTGTGGCTAGGAAAAAAAGCGCTTGCTCTCCACGGGGAAGGAAGCAGCCCTGGACATACTGTGCCGTTTTCCAAAGCACACAGGGATTTTTAGATTGATGCACAAATTCAACTGGCCAATAAATGAGACCACCCAAGATACGGCTTCTTCCCACAGAAGAGTGCACCTGAATAGTAACTATGTTTCCTAGGCTCCTAACCTGCACTGCAGAAAGCCTAAAGGGCATCTTATTTGGATCCCTAGGGATCCATGCTCACTGAGTCAGTTTACCAGCATCAATAATTCACCACCGCCGTCACCTCAGACATATCCACCACCACACACACACACCCTACTCTTGCACCCAGCCTCCTAGCCCCAGAGATCTAGGGGTTGAAGGTGGAACGGGGAGAAAGACAAGCATAGGCAACCTAGGCTCTTCGGAAGCTCTCACTGCAAAGCAGAGCTGGGCCCACAAATCACCAGCAGATGACGAGGCCTGAGCCCCAGGTATCTCGCTATCCCCATTACCTGCTGTCCCTCCTCGCCCCCAGCCAGACGCTGGTAAGCAGATCTCTCCCCCATTGGGGCCAAAGTCCCACCGTCGGGACAGGCAGGAGAGCGGTGCTGCCCGCAGCCCCCGCCCCTCCAGCGGCACCGGCTGCAGCAGCACCCGCAGCGTCACTGCCCTGCGTCCAGGGGGGGGGGGGGGGCCTCGAGCATCCTTCAGGAGGGGAGGGGCCGCTAACGCGCCTAGTCTGGCAAGGCTCCAACCCTCGCACCTGCACGGATCCAAGAGCTCAGGTCCACAACCAGCAGGTTAGCAGAGCCTCCGCTCCCCCTCAGGCAGCTCCTCAGCCAGCAGTCAGTGCCAGCCGCGACCCCTAGGGAGCAGAGGCTTCACCCCTCCTGATTTCAGAGCCACTGCTTTCTGCACCTCAGGCCGCCTCCAGGACTGGAGCTTCGGAACTACCCAATAGGACCTCCAGGATGCAAACGCTCTGATACTCAATTATACGGAGTCACCCAAGACGCCAGAGAAGCCTATCTCGGACTTCACCGAGCCCCTCCACTAGCCTCATCGCTCGCCTACTCCACTCTTAAGACTGCTTGGTGCCCACCTGCTGGGCATGCCCACAAGTTCTAACTGGCAGCTCCCTAACCCACCCGGCAACAACTCATCGAAGCCACGCCCCCAACCCGCCCCCCTCAACTCTCCAGATCTGGAGCTCTCTTTCCTCTCAAGCCAGAACCCGGCCTGGGACCGAGAGCCAAGCAGACCAGTGCGCTGGGGCAGACTGCTGGAGAAGTCACACGGACCCGTGCCACAAAGGTTGAATGGGCCAGAAAGGTTATGGCCCGCCAGCAAGGAAGTGCCACTGTGGAGACTTTTTCTCTCCCTCCAACTCTCAGAGCCCAAGGTAACACACGCGCGCGCGCACACACACACACACACACACACACGCTCATGCCTATGGCATCTGAGGCATCCTCTGACTCCTTCCAACCACGTATTTGGGGCTCAGCTGAGCTTAAGGCACTCTGCCCCTTCCTGGGACAGGGCATCAGCCCCAAGGCAAAAAGGAATGAGATCCCAGGAGGGCACGGTGTGAGTACCCAGCAGGCCTCCTCCTCACACATCCCATCTTGGGGCAGCTATGGCAGGGAGCAGCCTCTGCCAGGGCCCAGGTTCTCGCCTGTACTACTCCTTGGCACCTTACCACAGGGATGGCAGAAACCAGTCTTGGGAACAGCTTCAAGATCCCAAAAGTCAGTAGGGTGATGAGAAAGCAAGGCTGAATATGCCTTGCCCGTCCCACTTTGCTGAAGGAAGGTCTGATTCAAAACCATTCCTCACTCCCGCTTGCTCTAGCTCATCAACTCCCAACACCACACTGTCTCGAAATCCACACAGAACGCAACTACCTCTGAGACCTGGGACTCCGACCCACACAGTCACCAGGACTGCGCTCCAGTCTCCCCTTCACCTCGTAACTACAGGGAGCCGGCCTACCTTCCCAGCTTCCTCAACAGCGGCAGTGAAGTCATGAGTTCACGCCAGAAGATTTGACAAGCAACTTCCAGCCAAGAGGATCTCCCCTCCACAACAATCTACCGTATTCTTGGTAATATATGCCAACCTGACAACCAAGCTTCCCCCCTCCCTCTCTCCGGCAAGCACAGGAGGAATAACATATTGGGAAAGAAAGGAAGCCACAGCTCCTCCCCCAGCCACAGCCACAGGATACTCTCGTCTCCCACAGGAACCCCACCACGTCACGCCTGCTCAACTCACCTCTATGTATGCAGGGCCCAAGCTTCTGGACCAAGACCTCATCCCAGAGGGGACGGTACCAGGAAACCCCACACCTTCAGGTCAGTGTGGTATGATATCACTGGTCCAAGGAGGCAGCTGGCCAGAGGCCAAGGAAGAAAAGCGAGTGATTCAGACACACCATGGCTGTCCACACCCATCTCCAGGACAAGGGGCCCACTCACTACCAAGGAGCTAGCTAGCTGAGGTCCTACAGTTGGACCAGGCTAAGCTGTTTTCCCTAGGGATACGGTCCACAAACCAAGGCTAGCCTGAAATCTCATCTTCCTTCTTGTATGCTTAAAAACTCTTTTACTTGAAATCTAATTAATGAAATATCTTTAGAGGAGAATTAGAGAATATTTTAAAGCATTCATGGTATTAGAATATAAACAGTATTTTAAGCTAGATTGTCTTTAAAAGGTATTACATCCTTTGAGTACCACTCATTCTTTGAGCTGTTATATTTGTTTATTTCTGTTATTCTAATTTTAATAACTCACTGAATCCAGTCAGTGCTGTGTATTTGCTCATGGGTTGAACCGTCCATTGGAGCAAGGACAACCTCCCAGTGGCCACACCTCCAAAGGAAACTGACTCTCCCTTCCCTAGCAACTGCTATTCTTCTTCTTAACTGTTATTTCTAAAGACCTGGACCTCACCCTTCCTTCTATTCTCACAGAATGACTAACTCCCTGGGGTCTGCTTCCTCGCTCTCAGGTCTCCTGCTGCCACGCTGTCTCCCCTCCAGAGGCCCTGCAGCTCTCAGCTCCTGTGTCAGAACTGACAGCAGTTCCAGCAGGGTGCTGTCCCGTACTACAATCTGCGTGTCCCTACAGGGCGCACCACCCCTGCTAACTCCTGCTGGGCACGCCCACTACTCCTGAGGGGCAGCTACTCCAGTATGTGCCCGGCATCCCCGTGGGCAGCACAAACCACCCAGGCCAGAAGCCACACGCCCTAGCAGCAGCCATGACTCTTCCTTCCCCAGGCCGCCACCCAGTCACACAGTACTTCAACCTGCTCAGCACTCCTCCCACCTACACCAAAGGAACACTCAG